AAGTACTATTGACATTACCAATAGTAGAATATCGTTACACTCCTCTTTTTGGAAAAAAAAAATAAAGGCGTGTTCTGTTTTATTGCGTTATGCAGTTTATTAATTGTTACTTATTGGCTTGCCGTTTAGTGTAACCGACAATAACAGTTGGTATTAGTCATACTATCAAGTCATCGTTAATGTATTCCGTTCAATGTTTAAACAGTAGGCAAACACCTATGTACAGGACACACATCAAGAAGTGCATACTGTACGTTTCGAAAGCCGTCATTTCTACTTGTCACAGAAACAGCGACAAACACGCGTTTAACCTGGGAATGCTTACTGACACGGTGTTTTACTTCATGTATACAAAAGACAGAACATGTGTTCCTTTAGATTATTTTTTCCCCAAAAAGAGGATTGTGACGACATTATACTGTTGTTAAAGTCAATGCTACTTTGCGTGGGACGATATTATTGAATATACAGTACAATGCAATTCCAGACACCACTGCTTTTTGCATAGGTATTTAACAATTTTGCACTCTGTAATTATAATCTAGTTTAATTCTTACCCATTCTTCTTGGCAGATGTGTTCATGCTCTCTCAACCTGTTTGGGGATTGCTATTGGACAACGGTTTTCAAGTCTTTTCATAGATTAGAATTCAAGTCAGCACCACTCATTCACTTAAGGCACTCCATTGTCATTTTAGTCTCATACTTATAGACCATTGTCCTGCTGAAAGGTTAATTTGTGTCCAAGTTTCGAATTTGAAGCAGATTCTCTATCCTGAGATTTCATAGTACTTTGCTCCATCTACAGTATGTTCCTATCAGTCTTGACAAGCTTCCAAGTTCCTGTTGACAAGCATTATTATGTAATGCCACCCCAATGCTTAACAGTAGGGACAGTGTTGACTGAGTGAAGCACTATGTTAGATGTTCATCTGAAATATCACTGTGTATTTAGTACATAAAGCTTCAATTTTGTCTCGTCTGACCACAAGACCTGTAAAAATGTTTGCAGTATTACTTAAGTGTTTTGTTGGAAACCCAGTGTAGGATTTGAGCTTTTTTAGTTCCATACAGGCCCCCTTTGTGGTGTGACTAGGATATTGTTTATCCACAGACATTTTCTCCCACCTCAGCCATCGAACTCTGTAGCACTGTGGGTCTCACAGTTGCATCTCTAACCAGTTTCTTTGCTATCTAGCTGCTAAGATTGGATGAACAGTCTGATCTAGGCAGTGTCTGGGTTATTCTGAAAGTTCCTTAGTTTTCATGATTGAATCTTTTCTTGAAATTCACTACCTGAGTGAGGGACCTATAGATATAGGTGTATTGTTAAATAAAGTAATTAAAAAGTAAAAATGACAGTCACACAATTTACATTTAACTGAATAATGTAGATGATTACAGTAGTTACTCCTGAAAACTGACATTTATCAATCCAGAGACAACTCAGACTGAGGAATCCTTTGTAAATTCACTGTTACCAGTCAATACTGTTGTAGCAAGAAACTAGAATAAATTGTTACCTTGGAAATAAATGCAGGAACAGGAACTCCTATGAAGCCAGCTACATACAGTAGGAGTGTTTTTGAGATAGGACACTCACAACCTTAATGTCCAGACATTCCAACACCCAAACCAGGCCACCATAAACTGGGTCCAGTCTGATACTGCCAGTGGTTTACTGTACTGTAATGCCCAATCAACAACTCTCCACCTGCATTTCTAAGAACAATAGGCGTCTGTACTCCACTCTCACTCAGTGTCACCTGTAATAAATCCATTAATCAGGCCAGAAAAACTAATCAGCTCATCAATGAAAACATATCATGTTTGTTTGATCATCATTTTCTGCCTAAAATGTCCTTGGAAACATGGCGGGTTTTATGATGCAGCCAACTGTCATTTTGCCTCATCACCACAATGAGCCAGAGGGGTATGGCTCAATGTATATTAAGCACAGGAGGTAAAAAGTACAGGTTAGCAGAAGTATCAACTTGTATCCAGCTACTAAGGCTTGAGATTTCCTCTTTAAGCTTACGAAGGTTTATGTTTATATAGAGACTAATTGAATGAGAGTGACAAACATTTAAATGAATACTACAGTCAACATACAACTTGAATTAGCTTTACTCTTGTATTGGGTTTATTTCTCAGTTAATCATCGTGTTAATAAAAATGCCTTTTATTGTTTTAATCTTTGTACACTTTGCTAAAAGTTAAGTTTGATTGATTACACTATCATTATCTATCAATTTACAGATTTAATTTCTAATTGTCTAAGTAAAGTCAAACTATCAAATCACTGCAGTGTATCTGACGCCTTGACTTTTTGTTGAGCTGTGTGCAATTTATTATTTTTGCATAGTTAAAGCCTTAGAGCAAATACATTTACCACTATTGACTGTACAATAGGGTGGTGGGAATGATGCTTAAGAGGTCTGGTTATACAGATTTATATAAAAGCACATCTTTTCAGAATGCATGGTTCTATTAACTGAATGGTCAGAAATCAACAAAATTGTGCATATCAAAAGCATTTTAATTGCACTATTCTCTGTATGTTGGATGTATTTTGCATATTTTTTAAAAATACTTTTCTATTGTCAAACAAGTGCTCATTTTGAGAAGTTCAGCTGCCAACAGTACTAGTATTAGAAGTAACAGCGTTCAGGATTTAATTGAATTGATATTGAAACAAGACAATGTACTATTGAGGCCTGGGGGCCAGTAAAGCTGATTTTGCCTTCAACCTTCACTAATGAGGGCAAAAATTAGCATCCAGAGGCAACTCTGCAGTTGCAAAATTAATTTCACACATAATAAGAATCAGCTGTATTTGAATTAAAACAGCACCTTATGTGGGAATAGGGTTTCCCTCTTGGTCCCATAACAGCTGCACACTTGAGACAGTTTAGGTTTTCTTATCTATCCCTTAAAAACATGTGCAATTTTATAATAATTAGCATGCAAAATGAGGCCTCAAAGCATATTTAAATTTTTGATTGTCTTGACTTACAGAGTGTTCTGAATAATGATCTCCAGGTTTCAGTTTTGAAATGCATTCCCGCAAACACGGTATTTTAGTGGATGTATGTATATAAAAATGAAAAATAGTCGTTAACGCTATACAGTATGTATAAAAAATCAAAATCATTCAGGAGTGTCAGGGTCATGTGATGCACCATGCAGATTTTTCTAGTCTCATGTGAAGACTTTCTGTTTTTCCCAACAATCGCTCTCAAGTGGACTGATCCTACTGCAGGTCCCATGCTGACGTGAACAAGCCTCTCTGCAACATACATTCCTTGTCCTGCAGAGCTCGGCTACATCCCTCTGGCTTCTTCCGCTACCACGACCACTTATGTCACAATCTCATGTAAAAATAAAATAAATGCTGTTTCAATAATAATAATTGCTTACATGTATATAGCACTTTTCTGGACACTCCACTCAAAGCGCTTTACAGGTAATGGGGACTCCCCTCCACCACCACCACTGTGCAGCATCCACCTGGATGATGCGACAGCCACCATGGTGGACCAGAACGCTCACCACACACCACCTATCAGTGGGGAGGAGAGCAGAGTGATGAAGCCAATTCATAGAGGGGGATTATTAGGAGGCTATGATTGGTAAGGCCAATGGGAAATTTGGCCAGGACGCTGTGGTTACACCCCTACTCTTTTCAAGAGTCACCCTGGGACTTTTAATGACCACAGAGAGTCAGGACCTCAGTTTTACATTTCATCCGAAGGACGGCACCTGTTTACAGCATAGTGTCCCCGTCACTATTCTTGGGCATTCGGACCCACATGGACTGCAGAGTGAGCACACCCTGCTGGCCCCACTAACACCTCTTCCAGCAGCAACCTTGGTTTTTCCCCAGGATGTCTCCCATCCAGGTACTGACCAGACTCAAACCTGCTTAGCTTCAGTGGGCTGCCAGTTGTGAGTTCCAGGGTGATATGGCTGCTGGTTTCAACATTGATATCATCCCTGAAACGTCTTGAAATAGAAACGTTTCATCACTACCCCACTTGAGACACAGGAGGATACTTTGAATTTGTCTCACTAATAGTTCAACGTTTTGCAATATATACATTTGATACCATATTGTGAAGAATGAGTTGGAACGCAATGATAAATGAATTCATAAACGTAGGTATCACTCACAATTTCTATAGCCTTCATTAAAGAAAATGTTTTAGTACCTTCACTTGATAGACAGCTGGAACTTATTGCAATATTTAAATATAAATATAATAAAACTAGTTTGGAGATTCTATTACAAACTATACATTACAAACTATATGTGTCTAATATTAGGACTATAGAACACAATGCTTTACCTTTTTTATGTGCCTCTATAGCTGTCTTTTACATAACATTCATTTCTCAGAACAGCTGTAGTATCAGTTTATATTAAAGGTCATTTAAAAGTTACTGGTACTGGATTTAACAACTCGGATGTGAGTTAGATTTCAAAAGACACCAGGCATTCAGAAGTGGCTGCGCTTCAATTAAGTTCTATTGTCTGTAAAGTGTCAATTTAGTGACCAAAGACCATTACAAGACACCTCTACAGCTCTTCGGGGAACTGCAATTTAAAGGCACAGAACCGCTAGAAATATTGCATATCTTGATCTTTTAAAAAAAATTTTGAATAAAAAAAGTCATAGGTTTTAGACATGCATCAATATTTGAAATACTAGAAAACTAGCCAACATCGAAGTAGGTCTAATATATGGCAGCAAAAGTAGAAGAGTGTTTATGAATAAAAAGATCAAATCTTTTTTTTCGCGATCTGTCTGAAAGTACCTCTATTGTATACGAAAAAAAGCATTTTTCTATTTTGTGAAAAACCGACACACAATTGTTCTACATATACTCTCGTCAGCGCATATACTGATTATTTCTTCCCTGTGCTCGGGTAAAAGTCTTGCTTTCATGAATCTGCCACTATTCATCGTACCCTAACTTCTATAGACTTAGGACCCGGGAGAAGCTTTCTCAAATTCAGCTCTCCTTGAGGAAGATCCGACCAGTACATTGGTAAGTAAAAATGGTAGTACTGTGCAGAAGAATGTAGCGTAGTGGGAAAAGTCTGGTCTATAAATGTTGTAACTGTACTTGTCAGCTGCACAAACGCCGCATCGGAAAGCATTTGCTGCCGTAAAGAAACATAAAGTGAAATTAGATTTCTGATTCTTCAGTATTTATGGTATACACGTGTAAACATTGCTCTTGCATGTACTGTAGTCAATGGTATTATACAAAGTGATTTCCTCGGCTCCGTTTCTTTTGGGTCTGTACGGTACCTGCTTAGTGTTTGTTATGTCCTCCTGACTCATTTGTGTTTCCGTATCTATATACTGTATATAGAAATGTTTGATTTCATCTTCATTTTCTATTTGGAGCGGTAGGCCACAGCCTGTCCAAAATACTGCATATTGATTTATGAAAGAGCGAGTTACAGATTGTGAAGTTGAACTGTTTTTCATTCTTAACATTTTGCAAAATACAGTTTTACAGATAATGTTAATTGCAAAATATAATTTAAGAGTGAAACGCCCCAAATAGAATAGATGCTATCAATGTGATAAATCACGAAAAAGGTACAAGTTCAGAGACCTTTGTTGTGTATGACCCCGGTGTGCCGAAATAAACTTATTGTTATCAAGTCGGTTCATTTAGACTTCCGGATAAAATACATAACGTTTACATTCCAATTATGTTATCTTATTTGAGTGTACTATTATTGAATTATTGAGCAATTAGCAAGGTTTAACGACAAAGTTATTTTAAGTCTTTTATAGTAATGTTCAACTGAAATAAAGTGGTACTGTAATTTTTAACAGGAAATTGAGAGAAACTCATGGGAAAACAGACTTGTGTTCTCAAGCAGTTTGATGTTTCAGTTTTTACCAGTTGAATCTTATCAGACACGAAACAATCGGCTGTAATTTCCATGGACACGTGTTAACAATGTGCACGCAGTTCGTAAGTACTGAAATGGGTAAGGTTACTGCAATGCAGTGGGTGTGTGTATGCACTTTAAACGTGTTCCAACCTTATTACAAACTCGTAGTCACAGGTTCCCCCGTATCGCTGGAGTGTACACTTTTTCGTATAACTTTGAAAACTTAAGAGCTTAATTTATCATGTGGATTTTCACGAAAATATCTTATCAAAGCTTAACTGTGACTGTCATTTATTACACACATGGTTAGTGTAAATAAAAATAAGAAACCACAAAAATAATTTTACTGCTTGTATTCAATACAATACAATGTCTTCTTTAAAAAGCAGGTAATAACTCAATATGAGCTGCAAAAAAGCATTTTTAGATTTCTTTTGTTGCCATGTGCCACAACAATAAAATGTGTAATAGTGGCAATTTTTGCAGGCATCACACACTCACTGTTCTCTCACATTATTGAATCAGTCACATATATTTCACAATAATTTATGCCATAAGTAATGATTGTAAAAATGGTCTGTATGAAGCAGATTATTAATTACTGCTTTTAAGATGTATTCTGCCTGAACAGGTTACCATCAACTATTTGAAATCTATCACTGCATAATTTTCATGCCTGTAGATGTTTTAAAATTAGAAAGTGATATATTGGATGGTGTACTTCTTAAAGTTGTTTTTTTTACATAGTGGGACCTGCTGTGTTTGGTTACTAGTTTTGTGTTGTTAAGATCCAACTACCTTTGTTACTTTTGTTCACGTAGGTCTTAGTTGGGTGCTCAGGTTTAGACCCCCCAGTCCAGAGACATACTGGTAGGTTTTTCTAACCTCTTTATCCAATTCATAAATTCAATAATTGGCTTCTGGGAAAATTTTGGTGTGTGTGCCCCATAATGGCCCGGCATCCTGTTCAGGGTGTATCCTTCCTTGCGCCCATAGTGTGCTGGGATGGGCCCTGGCTCCTCTCCAACCCTGAATTGGATAAAGAGGTTAGAAAATGGATGGGTGGAATTATTATTCAGAAAAAAATAGCCAAATATGTCCAATAAAAATAGCATTAAAAAACTCTCCATTGTGTAAACACATACAGTATAGCGTGCTATATAAGTCTAACAATGAGTCATTGTGTATTTACATCATAATGCCATTTCTGTTAATACAGACTTATGGTCCTGTTGACATGCAGAGTAGGAAAATATGTTGGGCAGCACAGTAATCAGATAGAATATCTTAATTGCATGACAGTGTGTGTTGTTGTGGTTTAACAATGCCTGGGATGGCCAGGCATAAGGTCCCATGCTAAGATAGATGCACTCTCTCAACAAGCAGTAAAAAACCTGTTATTCCTTTTATATACAGTGGGTTACTTAAATAACAGAACACATGTTTTAAAATGATTTTAATGAATAAATCTGGGAAATATGTTTCTGTCACATTGAATAGTATCTGTTAGACTTGTCAGGCTTTGAGATTTGGTGTATGAATGCCTAGGCACCAAATACTGTTAGACTTGCTGGGACTTCTCTGTGATGTTATGTCAAGTTACCACTATGGGTGCAATCACTGGCACTCTTTTGCCATTGTGTAATGTACTATGTGTCAGTAAGAGATGCTTCTTACTTGTATAATAACATTGCTTATCTTAACACCTTCTCCAAGTTTAGTGTCTCTATGTTTCTAGCTGCATGTCTCTACATTCTGCACTTGTCTATATTAAATACCATTGCCAAAGTTTACTCAGTATTGAATTGTATTTAATCCTCTTAGAATTTACTTTGTACCCTTTACTGTGTTTGCTGATTTTCTTACTTTGATATTACCTGTGAACTTGACTAGATTCCAAAATCTACCAGTACAATATACTTGATATAAATTAAGAAGAGCAATAGTACTAATACAGATCCTTTCTCTACTTCATTAATTGCATCGTCATAATTTGAGTATTCTTACATGTTCACTGTTTTCTGTCCATTAACCACTACTCAGTCCAAATAAATATATTTCCTTGAATATCTACTGCCAGAATTTTAAGAAGATCTTTTATGAAGAACCACTTTCTGAAAATCTAAGTGTTCAATTCCATATGCTCTGATTGCACCCATTACTGCGGTGTCATGTTGAAAGACTTCTAACATTTGAGTTGAGCAAGGCCTACCTTTTCTATTTTTTCTTTCTATAACTTTACATCTAATGCCTATTAATTGATGGGTGCCTACCAGTTATTTTTCAGTCAGTGGCTACTACCCCTGTCTTGAGTGGGTATTGGAAGAGTTTTGTTAAAGGTTTATGAATACAATTCTTGTTTCCTTCAGTGAAATTGATGTAATACAATCAGGCTCTGGAGGGTTTTAGTCTTAAATCTTAAGTGCTTCTAATACCTGCAAAATGCCTGCCTCTTATATGCTAATATTATTTAATACAGTTCTTTCCATTAGACAGCTTGAGATATGGTGGTTGATTTCTTCCCTGGTAAATGCATGAGTGAAATATTAATATTTAATATATCAGCCATTTCCCTTTCAACTAAACGTTTTCCATTATCATCTGTGAAACACTTTATCCTTTATTGTTCTTTTGCTGCTGTAATACTGAAAAAAATATATTATTTATTTTAGGCTAGCCTCCATTGCAGTTTTATTTTCTTATCTCTCCATTTTCCTTCCTAATTATTTTTCTGCTTTTGTTTGCAATTATTGTTAATAAGTTACTCCCTTTCTTTAACTGGATCCTATTCCTTTATCCTTTTCTATAGTTCTCTCTCCTTATCTGTCAAACTCTTTTGTCTGTAAATGTCTTTATCCTTGGGACAGGGTTGCTCAATGTGCAGTGCTTCCCGTACACTCCATTCCACAATTCCGATAAACCAAATTCTGAAATGTAATATTGATCCCGTTGGTGATCACATATATGATCAAGCAGCTGGTTGTAGCACACATAGTAAAATAACCAATTCAGTAGCATGAAAATATAATAGGAGAATTAATGGTATTGTGCAAACTAATACATCTTGTTTTACAGCATAAGACATTTAACAGAAAATATTTATTAATTGGATAAGAAACTTGGATCTTTGTACAAGAATGTTTTATGATACAGCTCTACTGAGCCTGTATCCAATCATGGTTTAGGATCTCATTAGTATACCCAGCTCATGTGAAGGAAGCATCACATAACAAGCAGGTTGTAATCAACTTCTTACCTATTGGGGTTTGCTTCACTTAACAGATTGCAGCCCTGCTCCATGTTTCAGCAGGAGCCATATGCTTGAGACTAATGAAGGTATACCATACTGGTACTGTTGATAATAGAAGCAGTCAAAGTAGTAATCCCAGACTCTTCTGTACAGATGTTGTCTAACTCGTGGTATGTTCTCTTTCTGAAAGCTGAGGAGCCAGTAGAGATTTTGTTAACGGCCCACATCCAGCTGTGGGGTGGGTTTTAATATTACCTCTGGAACAGTGAGATACACTAAGTGATTGGTGTGGATATATTTAATTCCTTCTGCACATTTTAGAGTATACATTACATTTGGCTACAGCAGCGGTTTTCTTGCAGCTATTTGTTGATGTGGTGTTCTGCTGCTGCTTGACTGTGTGCCAACTCACAAGGCCAGAGTTTCACCAGCCTCCATTTATCAGTATGGGTCTGAATAGTTTGAATCTATCCTACAACCCAGACGTAGCTACCAGGTGACTCTTATGTATTCTTTTACAGGAAGAGTGCGATGCATTGTAAATAGTTAAAGGAAAGGTGATTAAAAGGGGCAGTGAGATGTCCTTCAATTTTTCTCTGAGAAGCTCTGGAAAGATGCCGTCAGTGCTAGCCTCATTCTTTTCTTAAGCCTAAGATAGCCTTGTTGGTTTCATCTTCTGTGATGGGTGCTGACAAGGGAGTGTCCTGCTTACAGAAATTCCTGTTGTATACAGCCCAAACCTTCCACCTTTGATGCTTGTCATGGAGGATCTTGCTACTCTTCAGGAGGTGAAATCTGACTGTGGGGAGCCGACACTGCTGCCTTTGTTAGGCAGCTGGTGCTTCACTGCTGGCATGGTGAAGGAGGTTCATAGCCTTTTAA